CCACTCACCTCAGCCTCCTAAAGTGCTGGGATTACAGGCTGAGCCACCGAGCCCAGCTTTCTCCATCCTTAAAATGTAGTCACAGTGTTTTCTACAGTGTTTTCTTGCTCATGGGGTTATTACAAGAATTATTTGAGAAGATGTAAATAGATGCTCTTGACAGGCGATAAGGCTTTTTCTTTCTTTCTTTTTTTGATTACAATAGAAAAACACAGTCTCTCCATCCGGTAATTTTTTTTTTTTTTTGAGTTGGCGTCTCAGGTGATACTTCTACCTCAGTCTTCCAAGTAGCTGCAATTACAGGCACGTGCAACCATGGCCGGCTAATTTTTTTATTTATCATAGAGATGAGGCCTCGGCAAGTTGCCCAGGCTGGTCTTGAACCTGTGGGTTCAGGCAATCCTCTCCTAAAGTGCTGGGATTATAGGCATGAGCCACCACACCAGGCCCCGGTAAATCTTTTAACCTATTTTTTGTTTGGTTTGGTTTGGTTTATAGTTTTTTTAGTTTTAGTTTTGTTTTAGTTTTGGAAAGGGCATAAAGTTTCATTGCAAGGAGCAAAAAATAATAGTACTGTTGACCATGGTTTATTAAGGGACCATTTGATGTGTTCTGAACACTTTCCAAGAAATATCTCATTTAGTCCTCCAGAAAACCTTGGTAGAAATGGTCTATTATTATCCCCATTTTAAAGATGAGAAGGCCAGGTACAATGGCTCAAGCCTATAATCCTGGCACTTTGGGAGGCCGAGGCGAAAGGACTGCCTAAGTCCAGGGGTTTGAGACCAGCCTGGGCAACTTGATGAGACCTCGTATCTACAATAAATCAAAAAATTAGCTAGGCATGGCAGTGCACGCCTGTAGTTTCAGCTACTTGAAAGGCTGAGGCAGAAGGATCGCCTGAGCCCAGCAGGTCAAGGCTGCAATGGCTGTGAGCACCCAACTGCACTCCAGCCTGGGTGACAGAGTGAGACTCCAACTCAAAAATAAATAAATAAATAAAGATGAGAAAACTGAGGATGATGGAGGAGCTTGCCCAAGGCCACACGGATGGCAAGTACTGGAGATGTGGTTTGTATCTAGGTCTATCTGGTTCCAAGTTCATGCTCCTAACCATTCTCACACAGTAGAATGTCAAAGGTAGCCAGGCCTGATGGCTCATGCCTGTAATCCCAGCACTTTGGGAGACTGAGGTAAGAGGACTACCTGAGCTCAGGGGTTTAAGATCAGCCTGAGCAACATGGCGAGACCTGGTCTCCACGATAAGTCATAAAAAAAAAAAAATTAGCCGGCATGGTGGTACATACCTGTAGTTACAGTTACTTGGACGGCCGAGGCAGAAGGATCACCTGAGCCCAGCAGGTTGAGGCTGCAGTGGCTGTGAGCGTGCCACTGCACCCTAGCCTGGGCAACAGTATGAGACTCTGACTCGAAAAAAAAAAGACTGTCAAGGGCAGCTCATCTTAAAGGGAATAAAGGGAATACACCAAGCAGCAACAGGTGGATTGTCACTGTAAAAAATGCTGGGGTCTAGGGAGCTCTGCTGGACCTACAGAGCCTACTGCCAGTGCTGGTCATCAGGTCGCAGGCCACGGTATCTCAGCATTTTCTGCCCAAACAGACATGCATGGAGTGGGAGGCTGCATGCAGTTAGCGAGGAGCAGCCCACACTCAGACCCGCCAAGGGTCATGCCTAGCAGCTGTGTGAGCTGACGCCTGCCTGGCTAGAGGTAGAAATCCTCTCCGTGATCCTGGGTGTGTCCATGGCCGTGGCACGAGGAAGCTCTGGCTGTTCCTCCCTGGCCTCGATAGCAGCTTCAGTGGTACCCTCTGGTCTCCTTGGGGTCTTGAGTTCCTGGGTCAACCCAACCAGGCTTCCCTTCTTGGGCATCTCTCTATCTAACTGCTCCATGTCAAATGGAGCAGGGCAGCTGCTTCCCAGCCTCTCTGACTCTGGCCTTGTCCTCTCCTTCCACGGGTCACGTTCCTCCATGAGGTTCCAGGTGTTTGGAAAGATGGCCTGATGGTCCACTGCCACAACAGCTGGCTCAGTTGCTTCATGGAAGCTGTGAGCAGCTCCATGAGGAGTCTCAGGCCTGAATACTTCCATAGTCCACGGCTGCTCCCACGTGGCAGCCATGGTCTTCTCTGAGCACAAAGGGTTGGCTGGTCGCCCCTGAGGGCCTCCAGGCTCTTGGGGATCTGCACTCCCAGCACAGGGTACAGTGTGGCAGGGAGCAGCTCCAGGGAGCTCACTCATGAGGTTCGGCAGATGCCTCCAATCTTGAGCCTGGCTCTCTGTACCAGACGGCCCCAGAGAACCCTCCACAGAGGGAGACTTTGAGTTGAGGGCGTCAGGTGTCACCCTAAGACCGGCCATATCAAGCCAGCTGGGAGCCACATGGGGTAGAAAACCCTGTCCACTCTGCTTAGTGCAGGGGCCCTCCAGGGTGTGGACTTGGCCTCGAGGGCAGGGTTTAGTGGCAGATGGCAGGAATACAGATGACAAGGGAAGAGGAGGAGAAGAAGGAAGTGAGTGGTGTGAGGACGGAGCAGAGCTGGGCAGCAGCCCCAGGGAGCTCAGGGCCACGGTGGAGGAGCTGGTCTGGAGGAGGAGAAAGACAAAGGCATAGGAGAGAGGAGAGATAGAGATGGGAGAGGTGAGGAGGCTGCTCCCTCTAGCCTATGGGCTCTGCTTTAGGGCTCTGAGAGTCACTATCTATACTAAACAAGGCGGCTGCAGAGCTGATGCACGGGACCAGCCCTTGAAGGAGACTCAGACACTAGAAAGACTTCCCTGGGCTTCATGTGCTTAGTCCTCATCAAACCCAGGCAACAGAAGACAGTCATTAAGCCATGCCCGTGGGCCCACCGAGAATAGGTATAGGGAGGAAAGACTGAGGTGGCTGATGGGCAGACAGCCCAGGCACAAATCAAGGGAACAGCCCCAGGCAGCTGCTCAGCCCTCCTTGGATCCTGGCTCAACTTAGCTGGGGTCTCTCCTGGACAATCCCAGCTTTCTAACATCCCCAAGCCCTTGCTCCAGGGGCACAGCCAGAACCACCGCAGCTTCTGGCTGGGCATAAGAACACAGGCAGCCGGGCGCAGTGGCTCATGCCCATAATTCCAGCACTTTGGGGGGCTGAGGTAAGAGGACTGCTTGAGCTCATTCAAGACCAGCCCGAACAACCTGGCAAGACCTCATCTCTACAATAAATCAAAAAATTAGCGGTGACTGTAGTTCCAGCTACTTGGAAGGCTGAGGTGGAAGGATCACCTGAACCTGGCAGGTCGGCGCTGCGGTAGCCATGAGCATGCCACTGTACTCTCGCCTGGGTAACAGAATGAGACTCCAACTCAAAAAAAGCCAAAAAAAACCACAGGCAGTCTGAGAAAGCAACAGCAGCCTTAAAGGCACTGGAGCAGAGGGCTCTCTTAGGCCAGCACCTGAATCCAACTTACTTGCTTCTGACCATGGCTGCTCCAAACCACAGTCTGGAGCTGGAATCACAGCATGTAAAGGTCACAGGCCCAAGTTCAACCCCCACCCCATCCCATCCACGCTTCAATCCCCCCACCATGAAACCCAGCCAAGGGAGGTTAAAAGGCACCATCAGGGCCAAGAGTACAAACACCGCTTGCTTTGCTTCTCATATTCCCTAAGTCGTGCCCCAAAGGTCTCTGGCTGACCCACGTGGAAGGATGAAGTCAGCAACTGCTGGAGACTTCTGTCAATATCAATCCCCATCGAGTCGCTGCATCCTCTAAATAAAACATCTCCGACCTGGCAGGAGTGGGAAGGCCCAGAAGAGGAGGGGAAGGGCAGGAGCACCTCATGCAGAACTGGCCCAGTGGTTTCCCACAGACAGAGCTTGTGGGAACTCAGAGACCCAACTGTCAGGCCCTGGAGGGAGAGAGGGAAGGAGGGGAGGAGGGCAGCGAGGGAGGCCTGTGGATTCAGGAGCCAGAGGCAGAAAGAAAGAGGATGGTTGAGGACAGCTAGCGTGGGAGATAGGGCTCCAGGGCAAATGACCTCTCATGCACGGGATCCCAAGTCCCACATGGCCCAGCAAAGAATACCCTCCCACACCAAGAACAGCCATCAACACAGGGCCCTTTGTCCCAGTGTCCCAGCCTCCTGATCCCCTCAACCTGAGTGGCTGGGAGCACCCGGGAGGAAGGAATGTCCCAGCTGAGTGCTTCTCTGGCTTCTCTGCCCTCAGTGGCTGCTGCAGCAGCTCAATCCCCATGCAAACTGGCCTGGCCCTCCCACCCCTGTATTCTGGTATCCTGACAGGGCTAGAATATTGTGGGGACCCTGGCTCAGGGGCAAGGCACCCACATACTGAGGGTCCAAGCCCCAGCTACTCAAATGGGTAAAGGAGAAGAAGGATGAGGGAGGAACAGAAAGGCAAGGAAGATGGAGAGGTCACTGGGTACCTTGAAATCTGACAGGGAGGCCATCAGCTCGTCCAGCTCCCGTGTGGCAGAAGAGGCCGAGATGCGCGTCTGCTGCTGGCTGGAGGTGACGCGCTGAGGACTGCTTATCTCACTCTGGTTCACAGTGATGGCAGGGCTGCAGGAGGACATGGCATCAGCAGGGAGCCCCAGTTGGCCCCATGCTTCCCAAGGGATCAGATCAACATCTCAGCTCTGATGACAGGGTCCCACCACCAAGTCTGGGGAAATCCACCAGCTCCCAAGCTCCTGGGAACCTATCACTGGGAGGGAGCCGTCAGCAAGAAGGGACTGAGCTGTGAGCAGAGCAGACTTGGAGAAGAGAGGGCAGCCCAAACGGCATCTTTCCCAGGAAGACTCCTCTGGCCCTCCCAGCCCAAGTGAAAGCTTGCCTATTAAACAAGCCCAAACACTGTGTGTTTCCTTCACAACACTGTACTTAGGTGTGAGATTATCAGGATAACATGACAACACTAATAAGAACTCACATCATGAAGCACTTACTATGTATGCCATGTGCTATCAGCAAGAAACCAACCCAAGTGCTTTATATGGACTATTTGGTCTCACCCAGATTGAGGTGGGTGGTCTTATTTTCATTATCCCATAACACCTTGTAACATTTTACAGATGAGAAAACCAAGGCTTAAAGCTGACAATAACTAGTAGAGCCAAGATTTGAAACCTACTGGGTGGCTCCAAAGCCTATGTTAACAACCACTAAGGCACAAGTACCCTCGGTATACGTGATGTCTGAATTTTGTAATTGGTAGTGGTTGGTTGAAGGCAGGGAAGGTGTCCGTGTGAGTCACCACTATACCCTCAATGCCTGACAAATGACAGTACTTGAGGGAATGGGTGACATCAGGGATAAATGGACAGACGTTGGACCCAGGAACTGACTGGGCCAGATCTACCCCAAGACTGGGGAGAGCCCAGTAGATACTTACACGGGGCTAGGCACAGAACTCTCCAGTTCATCCAGGAGACTCTCCACGCTGGGTCGCACATCCTCCAGGCCCCGGGCCCCATTCCGCTTAGGCTTCTCTTTCATCAGAGGCCCAGCTTTGCCCCCAACAGGGCTGTTATTCTCTGGGACACCATAGTGGGGGTTCAGAGCCCCAGGAAGTGGGGGACTTGAGTTGGTTTCATCTTGGAAAGAGGGAGAGAAAGAGGCCATTCAGCTCTTGAACGCTCTAGGAATCAGAAGTCAACAGGCAGGCCTGGAAGGTACAGCAGGCCCCTGCCCAAAGGACCCAGTCTTACCTGCAGGGAAACCTGGGGGGTTATGCTGCACAGCATTCAGTTCCAGCAGCAGGCGGTCAAGCTCCGAAAGGTTGCTGCCCAGGGAGGAGCTCATTATGGTGGGTGAAGGCTCAGCTGATTTCTGCTTGTTGGGGAAGCTTTGAGAGGCAAAGGAAAGAAGACAGTGAGAGATGCTCCCCGCCCCTCCCTGCACTGGCTTGGCAGACCCCAACCTCTCAAGGAGAATAAAACAAAGGGGATACAACGTCTCCCCCAAGAGGAGGACAAAGTAGTGAAGGAACACAGTAAGAAGAGGGAGGAAGGAAGTCTTGCTTAGTTCCTCAACAACACAGAGATGTTGTAACAGCCAGAATGTACACTGCAGGAAGAGGGCAGTGATTACACAGACAAGCCAGCCGAGAGGCACATGAGCTGGCCAGGAGCCTCAGGGCCTTCTGTGACCGCTGACCCTGGAGGCAGGACGCCCTGAGGACCAGTCACTATGCCTGGTCCCTGCTCCCTGGCCCCAACTGCCTCCTATCCCGGCCAGGCCCCTGAAGTTTCTGCGCAGCCAGGGACGGTGCCTGGGGAAGAGCTGGGGCAGTACCTGTAGACGTGCTCCTCCTCGCCTGCTCGGGAGCACGAAGCACCGATGCCGTCTTGAGGGTTGGAGGCACTGGAAGTTTTGGCACTGGAGCCGTACACAGGTGACGGGGACTGAGGCTGCAGGAGGGAGAGTGCTGAGACTACCCAAAAGGGAAGAAAAGAAATGGGGGACAGGAGCAGCCCGAATCACCCACAGGAGGCTCCTGCTCACAGCCACACTCACCAGGGAATTTCCAGTCTGGCCAGGAGACCTGTGATTAACACTTGGTCACTGCCCCCCTCACGTGGCGGGAGGGAAGAGCTGTGTCTAGTCAGGAGCGTCAACTCCCCAGATTCCATTCCCCAAGTGGTTCCCCAAGCCCCTGCTAGATAAGCTCCTTTTGCCCCCAATCCTCTGAGGGCTTCCCAGCGGCTGTCCCCACCTCACCTGCTGGTGGATAAATCGGGAGCCACTGGGCTGCCACTGGTCTAAGGGGTCAAGGATTGTGCCATTGAGGGCCTCGCTGGATGGGGGTGGTGGGACAGGGGGTGGCACAGCAATCTCCTGGTATGTGTGGTTTCCAGTTGGGTATGAGTAGGGGGTCTCCTCCGACAAGAACACAGGCCGTTTGGAGATGTGAGAGGTGGTGGACTCCAAGTCCGCCAGCAAGGCGTCTGCCAAGAAAAGACACAAGAAGCAGGTAAGAGCCAGGGAACCTGGGAACTCTCCCATGGCAGTGCTCCTGCCTGCACCTCAAGAGTTAATGCCTTCCAGCACCTGCCCCACCCATGGGAGAAATGACCAGCCTCAGGACAGGAAGCTACCAGCCCAGCCCAGCCCAGCCAAGAACCAGCGCCCAGAGCTGACCTCATCTCCCCACCCAAGACCAAAAGTACTCTGGAGGCTTGCTCCTGGGGCTGCCCCCTGAGATTCTCCTACCTCTGGGAGTCGGGCACCTGGCTCTGCGTTCCCTCCTGATAGAGCTGCTCAGCTGTGAGTAATGCCTGCCTGAACTCTGAATCCGCAGGCAACGCAGAGAATGGGTGGGAGGGGCCCCACGTCATGGGGAGGGGCCCAACAATGCCAGGCCCTCAATTCACCTCCAAGAGCTTAGACTTTCTCAAACCCTATACTAGAGGAGACTCAGAGGAGATGGTACCTGCCCTCCTGACAAAGTAGAAGCAGAAGCCCAGACTCCGAGCTCCTCCTGGGGCTCTGGGCTATGGGGTAAAGTGTGTGGGAAGGTGGGGGCTGGAATGAGGCTGGTGCAGTGGTCCCCACCCTCTTGGCGAGCAGGGGGCAAGACTGCTCCATTTGCTGTTTCTGCAGAAGCCTGGCAAGCAGCCCAGCCCAGAGGCTCCAGGGCCCCACTATTCTGCTTTTAACAGCAGCAAGGGAGCCGAATCAGCCCTCGAGTGCAAGCTTCCATTACCCTGGCATCTGGCAGCCAACAGGAGGGCCCTGGATCTACCTAGTCTCCAGAAAAGAAGCACACAGCTAAAACAGCAAGGGTAGGAACTGCTGACCCCCCTTCTGCCTCCCCTCTGGGACCCTCAATGGCCCCAGGGCCCAGACAGCCTGGCCCTACATGCCCCACCCTCATTCCTGCCATGCTCAGGGATTTGCTCACTCTCAACTCCCTGGTAACCTGCTGGGGTCAGGGAATGCTTGATCCCTACCCCTCAGGATGATAGTCATCTAAAAGGCAATGACTGAGTTTATTGCCATTTACTAATACCAGGTACTAGCCAGCTCGGTGGCTCAGCCTGTAATCCCGAGCTTTGGGAGGCTGAGGTGAGTGGATTGCCTGAGCCCGCGGGTTCGAGACCCAGCTGGGCAACTTGGTGAGACCTCATCTCTACAATAAATCAAAAAAACAGCTGGGCATGGTAGCGCATGCCTGTAATTCCAGCTACTCGGAAGGCTGGGGCGGAAAGGTAGAGGCTGCAGTGGCTGGGAGCAGCCACTGTACTCCAGTCTGGGCGACAGAGTGAGACTCCAACTCAAAAAAAAAACAAAAAAAAACCCAAAAACTAATACCAGGTACTGTGCTAGGCATTTTACATACACGGTCTCTGTTAATCCTCCTAACACCCTGTGAAGTTGGAATTCTGATCCTCCCTTTATGGATGAGGAAGGTGGGCTTAGAGACAAAGGACTTGCTCCAGATAACAAAGCCAGTGAGTGACAAGACTGTCTGACCCCTCAGAAGCCCCAACCCCCAAAAACCTGGTCTGTAAGAGGTTGCTGTGACTACAAGATGATGCCATATTTAAAGGGTTCAACTTCCTGAATGTCGGGGCCCAAGCTTTGAAGGCTGCCAGTCTGATCCTTCCTTGTGACCTTGTTCCCAACCTTATCTCTACTCAGAGGACAGAATAAGGAAGCAAGGCCCTCACCCAGGACCTCAGTCTACAGGGCCATACCTGCCCCAACTGCTACCCTCAAGGCTGGCCATACCTTCCCCTGGCTCCTGCCCAGATGGTTAGAGGGGAAGTCTGTTCTAAGGCCCAGGACCCCAGGGCCTGAACTCTTGACTTCCGAGGAAGGTCAGTTCCTGCAACACCCCCACCCTCCTCCTTTGGAGGTCTGGCTTCCTGTCTCTAGCAAACCGGAACTAGAGGGAGTTGGCATGTGTCTAGGTAACAGCAGAAAAGGAACTGGTATCCAGGCCAATTCCAATGGCCCCTCCAGGGCCACACCTGCTGCCCTGGCCTCACACAGTGTCCTCGTTTCCTCTGGACCCAATCCAGCATTGGCAGGTCCCTCCTTCTCCATCGTGGGCAGAGCCAGCTGGGAAACCCCACAGGACTCCCCACAGCAGTCAACCACTGTAACCCTGGTAGGGACAGCAGGAGCAGCTGCCATTCCTGAACACCTCCCAGGGCCAAAATGGTTACCAGCCCTTCTCCTCACAACAACACTAGCATGGATGGTAAAACTGAGGTTCAGAGGAAGAATCATGTCCCCACACTGCCAAAGCTGGCTAAAGTGACAACTCTGGGCACCAGACACCCAACAGAAGACAAATAGTCAACCTTATCAGGCTGGGAGCTCACACCTATACTTTGGAAGGCTGAGGTGAGAGGACTACCTGAGTCCAGGGGTTCAAGACCAGCCTGGGCAACTTGGTGAGACCTCATCTCTATAATAAATCAAGAAATAAGTAAGGTGTGGTGGAGCATGTGATTTCAGCTACTTGGAAGGATCACCTGCACCCAGCAGGTCGAAGCTGCAGTGGCTGTAAGCGTGCCTCTGTACTCCAGCCTGGGCAACAGAGTGAGATTCTGACTCAAAAAAAAAAACTTCCCTGTCAAACATTCTGAATCAGAGACTCCATTGCCATTCCACCAAACACTTACCCTGTACCCCTTGATGTGACTACAAATCTGATTTATTGGCTTATGGATTGTATTCTGATTTATGATCTCAATGGGCTCTTTTCAACATGGATACCTATGTTGATCGACTGTTAGTGAGGGGGCATACTCCTGGGCCACAAAGACTAAAAGGTCACTAGTTCTGGAATCAAGCCAGACCTGAGTTCAAGAAGCTCCTCCTTTCTACTATCCATGTCCCACACAGTACATCACTTAGCTTCTCTAAGCCTGTTTCCTCAGTAAGTTGTGGTGAATAACTCCAACCTTGCAGTATCTGTGTGAGGCTTCTAAGAGTAGGCAGGTGCTATAGCACACTGGAAGTTGCAAACATCCGACTGTATTTTCTTTGTGAAATGCAGAAGAAGATCTTCCTCCCGGGAGAGCAGGGTAGGATACAAAGTACTAACTTCTCCTCCTAAGTCTTTTCTGATTAGCATTTGGGCAAGACATGAAAAGGGCAACCTTGAAGAAAAAAGTAAAGTAATAAAGTAACATTGAAAGTGCAGCCAGGTGGCCAGGCGCAGTGGCTCATACCTTAATCCCAGCACTTTGGGAGGCAGAGGCAAGAGGATTGCCTGAGCCCAGGGGTTTGAGACCAGCCTGGGCAACTCAGCAAGACCTCATCTCTACAATAAATTTAAAAAATTAGCCGAGCATGGTAGTGTGCGCCTGTGGTTCCAGCTACTTGGAAGGCTGAGGAAGAAGGATCACCTGAGCCCCACAGGTTAAGGCTACAGTGGCCGTGTGTGGGCACTCCAACCTGGGTGGCAGAGTGAGACCCCTACTCAAAAAAAAAAAAAAAGCGTAGTCAGGCACGGTGGTTCACACCTGTATTCCCAGCACTTTGGGAGGTGGAGGCAAGAGAATGGCCTGAGCCCATGGGTTCAAGACCAGCCTGGGCAATGTGGAGAGATGTCTCTACAATAAATCAAAAATTAGCCAGGCATGGTAACACATGCCTGTAGTTCCAGTTACTTGGAAGGCTGAAGTGGAAAGATGACCTGAACCCAGCAGGCCAAGGCTGCAGTGGCTGTGAGCATGCCACTGTACTCCAGCCTGGGCGACAGAGTGAGACTCCATCTCAAAAAAAAAAAAAAAAGGGTTGGCATGTGGCCAGGCATGGTAGCTCATATTTGTAATCCCAGAACTTTAGGAGGCTAAGGCAGGAGGATCACTTGAGCCCAGGAGTTGGAGGTTGCAGTGAGCTATGATTAAGCCACTGTACTCCAGCCTGAGAAACAGAATGAGACCTTGTCGCAAAAGGAAAAAAAAAGGATAGCAGGTGTAGATGCAGGGAGAAGGCACAGTTTTTTCAGTTTTCTCTAAACTTTTATCTGAGTGAGAGAGAACCCCAGCAAATACATATATGAGCCACGGTATCTCTGGCATGGCTTCCTCCTCTCTCTCCACCCTTAGTCTTTGCCTAGTGATGTGGTTACACTTGGTGTCACTGTTCCCCCAAACCCCTCACAAACTCCTCAAGAAAGAGAGCCAGAAATATAGGAGGCAACCGAGGAGTAGACTCTGAGCTCTACTTTGGATTTCAATGGGTGCAAATGCCTGACATTTCCCCACAGGCTGCAAAATGATTAGGGGCCAAAGTCTCCCTGCAAGTTCAGCAAACTCCTCCCCTGACTTAAGTAAATAGAGCCAGCAGACATGGCACAAGAGTCTACTTGCAGGCACAGTCCCATCCCAGTGAGTTCCCCCAGTTTTCAGCTACAGTCTTTCACTCAGCTCTAAATAGTCCTTCCTACTCAAGGAAGTTGTCAGGCTGCCCCCTCTTCAGAGAAAATGGTACCCACTGGAACCCTACAAGACCCAGAACAAGCTGGGCTCGGTGGCTCAGCCTGTAATCCCGCACCTTTGGGAGGCTGAGGTGAGTGGATTGCCTGAGCCCGCAGGTTCAAGACCTGCCTGGGCAGTGAGACCTCATCTCTACAATAAATCAAAAAATCAGCCAGGCGTGGTAGCGCATGCCTGTAATTCCGGCTACTTGGAAGGCTGAGGCGGAAGGATCGCGGGAGCCCAGCAGGTGGAGGCTGTGGTGGCCAGGAGCGGCCACTGCACTCCAGTCTGGGTGACAGAGTGAGACTCCAACTCAAAAAAAAACCAAAAAACAAAAAGACCCAGAACACACCTTCCCTTCCCACATGTTGAAAGGACAGGTTCCAGGTACCCTGCCTAGAAGTAGTTGAGGACCCTCATTCAGGCTTCAGGCTAAGGAAGGCCTCAAACTTCCTCAGCATTACTCTGCTAAGCTTCCGGATCCCAGCCTGAGGCCTCCCCAGATCCAAGTTCCCT